AGTTGAAAGGCCGTTTCCACCAGGCGATTGTTGCTTTCAACTAAAAATCCCCTGAAAAATCGCCTCATGTAAATTCCCTATACCAGTCGCTAGTTACATTGTGAAATATTCAGGTGACGTAATGACACTAAAAAAAATTTAAATTATGTTCACTAAAATTTTATTAATGTAAAAATAAAGATTTTGGCAAGTAGTTATCGAAATTAATGTAAAATTTAAACGATTTTAAGATAGTATATTTATTATTTTTGAAGGTAAATGTTAATACAACTATATTATTTATACTCCCAAATTTAGGATATAAAATCCCCTACACCAAAAAACTTAAATTGGGTAACGCCACCTCGAATTTTTTACAATTGAGCAATTGTCAAAAATCTCCCTTTTAATCAAAAAGTTGTTTATTGAAACTACCTTCTTTTTTGTATCATGCATTTTACTGGAGTGCCTGAGCTTCATTTGGGAGGGCGTTTGCTTTGCACCATCGTATATACTTACAAGTATGGAATCCTATGCCCCTTTTTGTCTATTCTCTTTCTAACAGCGAACGTGCCTGCCAAACAGCGGACGTGCCTGCCAAACTGAAAAGCATGATGGCGGCAGTGTTTGACAGGCACGTTCGACGATGCGAACGGCAATGGAAGGTAAGGAATGGAAGATGGAATAGCAGAATGTCGAACCAAAACGAATTTCAAAAATCTGACAATGCGAATGACGTCAAAATGAAAGAAATGCAAAGTAGCGAAATGTCGAAACAGAAGAAATTGATGACAGGCACGTGTTCAAGGGTTTCGTGCAACAAAAAGTTGCAAGTTAAGTTGATGTGTTGCGCCATTCAATATTAAAAAAAATTTAATGTGGTTAAATGCGCTTTTTTATTAAGTTGAAAAAAACTACATATTTCGGCAGCCGAAAAGAGTATAAATAAATATATAGCATCTTGCTATAAGATTTATTTATAAAAACGGTATATGCTTATGGCCTTATTCATAAAAAATAAAATAGATTTAAAGAGCTCTCTCTATACAGTAACATTAAAAAAAATAGATTTGTTTACTTTTTAAGAATATTGGTATAACATTTATCTTAACTTTTTGTGCACCCATCTCTTTTTCTGTTTATTATTCTCAAATTTTTCTTTCCTTAATACTCATTTGACTGAGTTTCAATTACACCCAGTAAAAATCATGATAAAAACATTAGAAAGTAAAACCATTCTCTCAATTGGTCGGCCATGATTTTTTCTGACGTTTGCAAACATTTTAAGATCATAAAATTGAAAATGAAAAAATGAAATTGTTCACAATTGTTGTTTGAGATTAAAAATGAGAATGTGTGTATGAGCTTGAGTTCGAATTTTAAAATTATATTGCTGGCAGACGTCAGAATGTAGCTCAACGATTTTACCTTGTAATGTTTTTATCATGGTAAAAATCTAAATATTTTATAAGAAATTTGTTGACCGTTTTATAACGGCATTTAAAGCTTTTTTTTGTTCAAATTGAAAAGATTTCCTCCTTCGCACACTTCTCATGCTTTTTTATAGTAGTTATTATTCTGTTGACATCTAAATTGCCATACATTTTATGTCGTTGCCAATACATTGTTTTTCGGCGTTTCCTCTGTGAACTTTTATAGCTACATTCATAAAAATATTACAAATTTTGGTTTATAATTTTTTTCCGTCTTGCTTTTGCTGAACATCAAAAAGGAATTAATAAATAATAAAAAGTTAGTTACAATTTTAGTGAATGGTTCTTGCAAATAATAGTATTTTGTGGTTGAAATGATTTGATCGCCGGCAGGAACTAATCAACTTTTTTGCCAAAACCAAAGCAGACGGGAATGAAAAATAGTTGTTCATTAACGATTTGTCCGAAATATCGTTCTTGAAACTCGCTACTGCTCACTAAATTTGTAAAAATCAAATTTTTTCACTTAATTGTTATATTTCTTCATTGTGGTAAATTTCCACAGCAGCTGGCTGTCAAACCGAAACCAAAAAAGATACCAGAACATTCAGGGCGCAATCTTTTTCTATGATTATGGCACTGGGGCCCTATTCTATAACTCGATTCGAAAATAAATTTGCTCGAATTCGGATTTTTTGTACTTGGTAACTCTATTTTCGCATTTGCAATTCTAATTTCGAAAACTGGCAACTATGTAACTCGAATTTGAATGTCAAATTCATTCGATCTTCGCAAATAATACTCGTTAGCGTTTGAGCTGTAGAAACGGAATACTATTTGAAAAATGCAAGTATTTTAATAATTTTTTATTAAGTATAACAACTATAAACGTAAAATATTTTACAATAGGGATTCATCCAGCAAAAGCCAGCATACAAAACAAAGCCAATTTGGAATTATGGTGGAATTCATGGAATCGCATCCAAGTTTGGCCAAAGGCTACATAAAGTGCGCTGATGCTAAGCAAACTTCCAAGAATTTGTGGGGACGGCTGACGGAAGAGTTAAATGGAGATGGACCACCTACGCGGGATGCATCTTCATGGAAAAAGGTAATTTTAGTGTGAGCCAAATAATGTTAACTCTTAAAGCTGCAACACGAGCCGCGCGTCATATGACCTATCAAAGTACCGTTTTCAAGGTATAACGGTTATGATAAATAGCCGTATGCTAATGAACCGCTCAATGAAGTACAGTTTTAATAAAGCAAAAGAAATTAAATTTTAGCAAATGTTACATTTGAAATATATTAAAAAACAACAAAAAATATAAATGCATTTAATTTATGTAATGAAAAAGAGTATTTTTTAAACATACGACGGCACTATGAATGGAATTTCGTTTATTATTAACTATAATTATTATTTTTTATTTACATATTTAAGGTTTGGGCGGATTACAAGACCCACCTCAAAGCCAAAGTTCGCAAAAATAAGTTGCACATGTCCGGAACTGGTGGTGGCCCTGCAAAAATTAGTTCCCTTAATTCGGTGGAGTTAAGGGCAATGGAGTTGTTGCAAATAAATGAAGCAGTAGATGGAATAGCCGGTGCTCAAAAATTCGGTGCAGGAAGTGAAGCCACAAACAGCAACGAATGTGAAACTGCTCCAACCACTCCTCCTTCCTATTCCCTGGTGTCACCCAATTGCAGTACGGTGCGGTCCCGAACTCAAAGCAAAAGC